GTAAGGGACGAAACGTTCAACAAGATCAAATAAATTTGTTCATCAAAATTTATTAACTGTCTTCAATTTTCCCTTTGAAACTCATATATATTAATATACTGTTGGGACAAGAATATTGATTATTAATTGTTGTTCATGTTCTATTTAATGATTTATTTTTGTTCATATATAATAAATACATTCTCGTAATTCATCAATGTTATATTCATTCATTCATTCATTCATTCATTCATTCATTCGTGATTTGTAGTAGTTATAAGATGGGGTTGAGTGATATAATAACAAATGAATAAAAAAATAAATAAAATTGCAGGAAGAGATCGGAGAGATCATCGAGTCTGCCCCATCAACTCCATTACGTGTCATCGAGGAACCAAAATATCCAAAGCAACAAGAAGAAGAATCAGTAAAGACATCATCATCTAGTTTGGATAATAATACGGTGAACACTACGTTATGTTTGCCAACTATTAGTACTCGTCTCCCAAAACGACAGAATTCATTGTCACGAGGGAATAAAAAAACAATTATTGGGGAAGATATTGGCGAGTGGTCTAACAATATACTTGCCGAATTTAATAGCATAATAGCTAACGAGATTAACGAGTTAACCAAAGAACATTCGATAAATTATTCGGAAATAATAAGTAGGGGAGGACAACAATCATCGTGTAATAAAAAAAAGGAAGATGAACCGAGGATAATCAAGTACAAAGAATTGTTGAACGAGTTTGGTATATCGGATAGCGAATATTCCGATGAAAATTTAAACAACAATAATGAAATATTGATTAACAATAATAATAACGGTAATAAAGTGAACAACAAATTTTGGTTTAACAGAGAAAAAAATAATACTTATTACGACGAGGAAGATTTATCTAATGATAAAGATATTTCACGACGTAAAAGTGGAAGTCTACCGGATAATTTGGGTATAGTTATCGATCATCATCGATATAATAGATTGATCAATGACAATCATCAATCTAACCAGTCCTTAACGAGGAACGTGAATAATCATTGTTCGTGGAGTAATCGAAACATATCTAGTCTACCAACGAGAATCAATCGTCCCGGGGTGGAAGAGGACGTTAAAAATGAACCAAAGAAAATTGTAGGGTTAAGAAACGTGCCTGACGACGATGTACCGGTCGTCTTACCTCCGTCCTCCTCTTCCTCATCATCATCGTCATCATCATCATCATCATCATCATCTTCTTCTTCTTCTTCATCGTCATCGTCATCATCATCTTCATCATCTTCTTCTTCTTCTTCATCTTCTTCTTCATCGTCATCATCATCTTCCTCAAGAATAATCAACGTGGAAGAATCCAAAAACAAACTTCCACCTCGTCAACGAACGGATTCCCATAGGAAACATAGTCTTCCCTTAACTCCAACGAATTATAGGCGTCGTAGAGATTGCCAGCCGAGGTTTCAAAAATTTCAACATACCCAAGACGATCAAGACATCGGTATGGATCCTGATTACGATGACGTATTCAATAAAAAAAATGATGATCACGTAATTGCTGCAAGATCAAAATCATTGGACAACGATGTACCGAAATCGGCACCGGTTACTCCAACCGAAGAAAAGAAACCTCCATTTGGGAAGTTTCTTAAAAGAATACAGACACCTGTTTATCACGAAAATACGAACGACGTTGTACTCGTAAGAGTATCATCTTTACCCGATCAGGATTTATTTTTAGGAAATCGAACGAAGGATTGTACGTCGACGAAAAAACGTGCCGTTTCACCTTTCACCTTACGTTCGGACATTTCGGCTAAGAGATTGTCCGAATCTGATAGAGACGTTAGAGAAACAAGTCCGGTTGATTTGAAGAAATTTTCTATATCTAGGTCAAGGGGTAACGATGTGGCAGTCGAATGCGATCTGCCCGAAAATAGAAACGATTCGACGATTAACGAAAATAGAAGAATTGAAAATGGCGAAGTTAAGAGAATCATCGATGAACAAAACGCAAGATCGGGATCGGTGAGAACAATCATTTAAAAACCACACACGAAAATCTATATAATTGGATCGTTTATTTAGAAAGTGGTATAAGTTCATTTGCAGCCTATAAATATATATAATGTATATAATAATCAAATTACATATCAATAAATTAATAGAAACATTATTGAACTAGATATAATTAACCAATATGCAAACCTTTAATTTTCTTAAAACAACAGAAAATGGATTTACACCACTTTCAAAATAAACAGTCCAATTATATATATATCAATTTGTTTTTCCTATTAAAAATATTGATCGATGAATTTCAGTTGCCAATCTCTCTGCACTCTCTTTTATCGAGAATCAGAAATGGTTCAGGTTCCTGTTGTTCGAACAGTCCACCAATGGAATCATTTACTTATTCGGATATAGCAACTCAAACATCGCCACCTATTTCAAGAAGTTCTAGTTTTACTTGGGTCAGCGAATGCGAATCACCGCGAGGTAAGATGTTTTCATTATTTTATTTATTTTCCTATCTTTGATAGAAAATACGTAGATAAGAAATTGAACGCAGTAGTAATAGTAGTAGTAGTAGTAGTAATAATAATAATAATAATAATAATAGAAGTAGTAGTTGTAGTAGTAGTTGTAATGGTAATAATAACAGTAGTAGTAGTAGTAGTAGCAAGCTAAGTTGATTCGTCGCTTATCAGCTTTGCTTCGCTTTGGCGTTTATAGCGGAATCGCAATTGGATTCGCAGTCGCTGCAAGACGAGAGTACACTAGACCCACCCTCACCTCAAGACACCGTAGACGACGACAACAGATCATCATCCTCCTGTCAAGATCTTTTGCAAAGTATGGATGAGATTTCATCGGGTAGTTTGTCACCGGATGCTGTTGATAGAGCTTCTCCTCTAGAAAGTGGAATCGGTACTGCGAGCCCACCCAGAAGTACGGATCGACGATTAAACAAACGTAAGCTGAAGTTTCTCACTTATATTTTTTACTTACTTGTTCTTTTTCAAGAAGAAAAAAAGCAAAAAAATTTCTAGAGATTAAAGAGAATACTTTGTATTTTTTTAAAAAACTTAAAACGAATTTCTTCTTTAAAGCGTCGACCTCGAACAAGTGTCACCGTAAAGAAACTTGGGAAAGAATTCGCCGTAGACCATCTAAATTGGGCTCGCGTAACGATAAGAACAATCAAGACGTTTGGGTAAAACGTGAAAGTGTTCACACGCAAACCAAAGATCAAGAGGATCTTTATATACAAGAAGTTATTGACAGTAGCAGCGGATTGGACGATTCTTTGCCTCGTGTTAAACCACCCAGACCTACGAATTTACCATTATGTGAGTTCATTTGAAATCCTAACTATACTACTCCTTCTTCTTCTTCTTCTTTTTGAAGTTATACTTCTTTTGGCGCGCGTTTTCGAAAGTGAAGTTAGATGCGACCGAAAAATCAATACCACGAAGTTGCCGAATATTTACGATGCGCGGGAAAATTGAAGTTATTTTTGAGGTTATATTCGTTTTGATACGCTAAAGAAGTATATACACACAACAGTTTTTTTGTTGATCTATTTTCTATAAGAAATGAAACTTAATATCGAATTTGAAAGACGATGGAAGGAGGGAGGAATGGGGTAACGTAGTTTAGTGAAAAGTGAGTTATTGAAATAAGTTCATACGAATGACATCGTAGGTCTGTCTACGACAGCCAGTTCATTGAGTTCTGGAGAATTATTGGAGACCCCACCACGAGCACCTTCTTCCCCATCGGCAGCCAGTCTGCAGTTGAAACCAGAACCATTGACGATAGAAATGGGCGGAAAAAGCAGCAGCGCGCCGTTGTTGGAAAACAACGACGTTGGAAATAATGTAGGAAAGGTTTCGGTAAGTGTGTAGACAATATTATATTTAATATAATAATAAAATTATAAAACTAAACTCTTTTCGAAGAAGAAGAAGAAGAAGGGACAAACCTAATTAAAAAATATAAAAAAATAAATAAGAAGAGTATCTAAATTTCTTTTTCTTGCAATATATAAAGTAACATCAATCACTTTAAACATTTGTATAAGGGTTCGCATTGTATTCGGAGATTATTATCAAGATTATCACGTTAAATTTATTTTTGTTTTTACGATTATTATTTTTATTATTATGATGATGATGATGATGATGATGATTCTATCTCACACTTATGGCGAATCATTAGTATCTGCCCACGCAAACCGTGTACTTCATCGAGCATCTTGTACACGGCTATTTGTATTTTTCTTCAACACATACATTTAACAAATATTTCAATACGTACGTGTACCATTCGTAAAGTTGAATTGCCGAAAGGGTATAAAAAAAAACATACAAGGGTTTGGAGCTTAAATTTTCTTTTTCACGGGTTGCATCTTTCTGTTCCTCTTCCTCCCTTCCTGTCGAGAGGGATGCAGTTATTATTTTGTTTGTTTAAACGAAGAATAATATATCCAATAGAAAAGTAAGAAGGAAGAAATATCTAAGTATTATTTTCTATGTGCAATTTAATTTTGGATTGTTCCTATTTTTTTTTTTCTTTTTTTAAAATAACACATACCTTTCCATATATATATATTTTTTTCTTATCAAGAAAGAGTATGCTAAAGAAAAATATCGAGACATTTGATCGTGACTTGAATGGAAGCTTGATTTTCCTTTCACATGAGTAAGACACGGTGATATTTCAGTATAAAATTTTAGATTAGTTGATTCGAAATGCATAATAAAAATATGTAGGATAGTGATATCGCATAGTTGACGTGTTTCGTTGACGTATTAACAAGTAATCGAATTAACATTTAACGCAACACGATCGATTTTTTCTTGTTCCCTTTTTTTAAGTCGATATTTAATAAATGTTTTAATAGAAAATGTTGTTTTTAATTACACGTAAATAGATTACATTTATAAACACACGTTTATGCAACATGCACGTTAAGTGGTTATTTTTATAACAACGTTAGATAGAAGATCGAAGAACGAACGGGTCCATATAATTCATGGATATTTAACGAACACCACGATCAGAGAGGCATAATAGCATTCAAGGTCAGTTGTCCGATGCTTTGATACCAAAAGCATCCTTCGCTCGGATGCATTAATGTTGCGCTTGTGTTCCGCTTACCTAAAACGTTTATCGATCCGTGGTATACGTTTAAAGGGATACACTTTTTGTTCCTTCTTTCTTTTTTCTTTATTTTTTTATGCATTACATTTTAAACTAAATTCGTATTTTAAAGATGTTCCAATAAAAAAAAAAAAAACTCCTCGTATAAAATCAAAAACCGATTTACTAACAAGTTTCATATGTTTTCGATATAAATGATAAGCGAATGAATGAAAAGTATTCGTGTAAACGTGGGGCCCCCTTATCTCTTTAATGATAATAATATATAAGATTATATCTTTTTAAAAAAAGAAAAAAAAACAAAACAGGAAGAAAAAATTGAAAAAAGAAGGGGAATTATTAGCGTGTGATAAGTAAAACAAGTGCTTTATCAATATCGAACCGATTCGTGAGTTTCTTATCAATTAAATAAAGACAATGAGAATAAAATAGAGAGAGAGAGAAAGAAAATCAATATTTCCTACCGGATATAAATATTTACTCGTACGAGACGATTTGTTTCGTCTCGTAAAAATAATAGAAACAAATAAAAAATATATATATATATATATATAGTAATAAACTAAATAACAAAATTTATTTTCCCATTCGTTTGTTATATTGTAAAATTTTTCTTCTGTATTTTTTCATATTTTTTTCCGTTTTAATACAGATTATTATACTTTTTTCGGTGTATTTCTAACTATGGATACGAATTATCAATGAAGTGTCAGCACACAAAGTGGTGGTTTATGCACGAATGAACATCTCTCTCTCTCTCTCTCTCTTTCTCTCTCTCTTTTTAAGCAAATGTGTGTTTTTCGCGTTATACACGGATGCGTTTACTAACCAACACATACTACTATTAAACATACACATCAACAAGTATTACTAACACATGTAAATTAAAGTAAACGTGTATCAGTGACTGATCAAAGCTAATGGAGCAGTGAGCTGTACTAGCAACGTATTAGTCGGTTGGCATCCCTCAACCCTCGAATAAACGTTTTGCTTCTCTACTTCGAGAGAGTTTACCAACTAACCAGCCCTTTTATTTTTTTTTTTTACCCCTTATTATTCTGCACAGGAAAGAAAAAACACACATACAAACACCTATCAGCATTGCTTGAACTTTCAACTGCAGTTTTTTGAAAAAACAACAGAAAATATATTTAAACTTTGAAGAAAATAAAAATTATCTTCGAAAGATAAAAAATCGATAACGATCTTTGATACTTTATCTTCTAACATTTTCAATCACGCGTGCTTTATATTAACTTTGTTTTGAACAAACAAAAATTGTCAATAACGATCCGATTGATTCGCGAGCTCTTTTTTTTTTTATGTTTATATGCAGTTAGGAGAGGATATCAGTTTTACGATATAAAGAAAAGGTCAAGGTCAAGCGTTTGTTTCGAGGTCAAGCCAGCATAATCCTTCCAAGTGGGTCACGCTTAGAACGGCAAATGGTCGTTTATATAAACCTGAATCTAGTAGTAGACGATATCATCCTATGTGTACCTGTATCCTTTCGTTCTTTTTCCTCTTGTTGCCATTCGAGACCCTCATCCATTTAAATGAACAATATTCTCTCTGCTGCGTCATGGTAGTTTTCGAAGAGAACTTTTGTTTAACGAGTTTGATACCGTAATTGAAATTAATCCTCTATAAACTTTTATGCATAAACTCGTAGAAAATTTTTACCCCTTTCTAGTTTTATCTTTTTTTTTTTTTTTATTACAATACGGAACAAACATATTTGATCATTATTTATCTACGAAAGGTAACTTTAATAAACTGTAAAATGTACTCTCACATATTCTCTTTCACATATCCATTTTCATTTATTTACTTTTATTTATATATAGTTGACTTTTTATAGGAAATATTTTATACGGTATCAATACTTTAGTTCTTCGGTATTACATATGGAACATATATATCTATGGTGAGCTTCAAGCAAAAATATTCAATAAAAGTAACCGTGTGTACGATTTTACATGATACTCATATGTTTGTAATCTTTTTTTTTTTGTAATGCATTACGTGACACACACGAGAATGTTATATAACAGAGAGTTTATATAACTAACGATTGTTATAATAAAAAAATGTATCATGTAGTTGAAATAAAAGCACGCAGAGAAACCTTCTAAACCCTTTGATTGCTATGGACGCATATATGCGTTTAGTAAAAGTTGATACGCGTGTTTATCAATGAAAAATTGTAATTATTAAATATAATTGATTAACACACATTAATAATAAACTATTTCATTCGTATGAAAACACTTCAGTTAAAAATATTCAGCACACTCAAAGGGTTGATCCAATAGTAATAAAAGCTCATGTTCTTTCAACGATTACTACTCAGATAATTATATTCAAACAAATATTTATATAAACAATCATAAATGTAATTTTATTTATTAATGTTCAATCATTAGAATCTCTGTCAAGGTAAAACGTTGGGAGGAGGGGGAGGAGGAGGAACAGATAGGTGCATAATTATTATCATTAATTTTCCACAATAAATTCGATGAATATTATGTCAGTTAACGATATCAATTAGAAATGCAATAAAAAACTGTCTTTTGATGCAGATAGGTAGCATGTAAAGAGGCAAGAAAATGCGATAACGATGTTCCGTCTTGTTTCAGTCGTTGCAGCAGCCACGTTCGCAATCGGAACGACAACTATCAGGTGAGTCTTATCTCTTTAACGCATATAACGTAGAATCCTATCCAATGTTATTACGTTCTCACTATCTTTATCGTTACAGTTGCTTCTACCTTTCTTGTAACACTACGTGCACACACATATATGTATGTATATGTGTGCATGTATTTCTTCGACATATCGAACTTTCTAATGTGGTGATTCTCTCTTTGATATTCGTATTCACGAATATAGATAATGTTATACAAGCATGTAAATTGTTTAATACTTAAATACGTTAATAATAATAGATATTCAATGTTACAAAGTTAAAGAAATAATAATCTTTCGAACAATTTCTTAGTCATATAGTAATGGGAAATGTTTAAAAAAAAAAAGGAAGGAATTGTGTGTAAGTTTTACACCACTACCACCAACCACCTGTCTTTAGAAACAAATTTACATGTTTCTTTAAACATAAGCATAATGGAAATAATATTAGGAATGGAAAATAACTAACGTGAGACCCGTTAGAAATCATTGAAGAAAACTTAACGGTTTATTTCGTCGTTTTTAAAAATGAATAGTGACAGAGACGTTACTCTTGAATAAAGATTTCTTTGTGTGCGTGTAGTTATATACGTTTAACATATATATTGGGTTGGTAACTAAACGAGTATGGTTACTTTAACAAAAACCTATATATCCATATGTTTACAGAGGAGGAGGAAGGGAAATGATTACTCAAGTAAAATTCAATGTTTCTTACACACGTTCTTATTTTTTTGGTTTTCCAACAAATTGGCACACATTGTAAATTTATTTTAATCATTTTTTCTCTTTATAATTTTACATTTATTTTAATAATTTCTTTATATATATATATATATGTAAGTATTTATTCATACAAAAAGATTGAGAGATTTATGGATAGATAGATAGGGGGGGGGGGAGAGGAGACCTGTAGGTTTTTATTAAAGTAAACACATTTATTTAGTTGCCAATCAAAAAATCTGCAATCACTTAGTTGCCAACCCACAATAACACATACATACATTTATATATATATATTATATATAATAGTTACATACAGTAAATGTATAGAAAAGTTTAACGGTATGTCAAACTCTTTAGAAACGTGCTCGTTCGATCGAAAATCCGATTTAACTCGTCGTTCATACATCAGCAACGAACTTGCCATGAAAACGAACGCTTCTAAACAGGTCGAGGACAGATACGACGTACGTACGCTTCGACGATCGTTTTGAGCTTTCGCTTGGTAGAATTTTATATGGAAGAAAAAGGAAAAATAAAATAGAACAGAGAAAAAAGAGAGAATGGCTGAAAAAGAGAGAAAGGAATTCGAATTATTTCGCGTTCGATAAATACAAATTCAATCCAAAAATTCAACGTCAAAGTAAAACAAAATTAGGAAAAGAAAAATGATAGTAAAGGGGTAAATATTTTTGGTTTATTTGTTTAGAGGGTGGGATGGGGTAGGGAATGGGTGGGTGGGGGTGGGTTGGTTCCGTTTAATTTCCTTTCTCTTTCTCGAAATGATTCGTAACGATTTGTCGGCCTAAGGGGTTAAAGTACGATCGTGAAAGTAATCGGTGGGTTGGGGGGAGGGGGATGGGGTTATGGGGTGGGAAGGCAGGCCACACATTTGCGTAGCTCGCGTGGCTGATTTAATTCTTAATTTTAGCCTCGGGTCAGCACGCCTCCTCCTGCACCGGAAGCTTTAATCACCGCACAGGGTTTTGCCGCGATGCCTTCGAATAATCTCACATTGCCAGCGAAACTTTATGTAGTCGTTGTGGTATGGTATGGTATGGTATGGTGTGTGTCAACAGACACATATATACAATGTAGCAGAGTCAGGTCTGGTTGCCACACGAGAAAGCAATTAGCGCGTGTTCACGTGAGCTTCGATAATTAATTAAACTTTCGCTGATCGATCGTAGTAGTACCGTTTCTTTACTCGACTACAATGTTTCATTGTCTTTTACTTATATATATATATATATATATATATATGTATGTATATATGCAATTGATGGGGTATATTATAAAAAGGGGAAAGAAGAAAAAGAAATGAAATTTACAGATAAAAAAAATCCAGGTAAAATACTTTTAAATATTTTTCATAATCAACTATCTTCATCATGTAATATATATATATGTATGCATAAATCAAATAAGGAATTGAATAGTATAATGTTAAAAGAAATGAAATTTACAGATAAGAAAAATCCAGGTAAAATAATTTTAAATATTTTTCACAATCAACAATCTTCATTATATAATATATATATATGTATAAGAATACTTTCGTCTTAATTTTCCGAGAGCCCACGTCTACCTTTTTCAAAGAAGGTTCATTTAGTTGTTAATTTAAAATGACGTTTAAAATAGTATGAGTTTTCGTAAACCGTCATTGAATATTTTTAGTCGGTTTATTTTGGTAGTGTCCGAAGGTGGATGCTTTTTATAAAAACGCCTCGAAAACTTATGCGAGTCAATGATTTCCAAGGTAATAATATAAATGAACGTGGAAAAGCTTTTTTTCTTTTTCCTTTACATATACCATACATATATACATATATATAAAAGTATATTTCTTTTTAATCAAAAGTATACTAATCCGTAGATACTTTATTTTACCGAACTTTAAATTCTTAATGGGTGGAGGGTGAAAGTGAGGATGATGGTAAAGGGGGTGGGATGGAAAGCTGCAAATTAGGTTTACGCGTGTCACACCTTCGTGTTCTCAGTTAAGAGAAACTAATTACGAGTTCTGGTATCATTATCATGCGTGTGTGAACGTTGTTAGGGAACAGCTATTATCGATCGTGTATTATTTGCTTCATGTTGCGAGAAACAGATAGAGAAATAGAGAGAGAGAGAGAGAGAGAGAGAGAGAGAGAGAAAGATAAAGAGAAATTTCGATAAGACAATTATCTTTAGAAACGCGAATGAACAAACTCGTATATTTTTTTATTTCCCAACCGGAAAAGATAGTTCGTTTGTGAACATTTAATATTAATATCATAGATCTTTCGGCGGCTATTATCAAACAGAAAAAATACACTATATATATATATACTAGAAAATAATAATAAAATAGTAGAAATGAATAAGTAACGCGTCAATGCGATCTTAGCTTCTAGGCATGCACGAAAATGATTTGTAAATGTTTCCCATCGACTAAACTAATTGCTGGCTTTCAGCAACGTTCTACTTCGCTGACTATATATCTGACTATAGGACAAAGAAATCGTAATTACTCGATTATGTGCAAGGTATATCAAATTATAATACTAAAATTATCGATTGTCATCGATAAACTTTCGATCAAACGATTTAAAAAAAATAATAATGATAATAGTACTTTAAATCACGTGTTTTTGTGGATTCAATTTCAATTTTTTCTTTTCTTTTTTGGTTTGTAAAAATAACAATCAGATTATTTATTATTAATAATAATAATAATCAGCATCAGTATTTAAATATTATTATTATTCGTGAATAGCTGTTTTAGAGGTTATTTCAGGTGATAATAATTATTGACTCATCGTGTGCATAATAACGTAACACCGATACTAGACGGCAGGTATTTAACAAGAGAAAGAAAATTTCTCTAAAGTAAAAAAGAAAAATCCGATTACGAAGTAGGGTTTACATTTAGACGAGTCTCGAAGGAAATCTGTATGATTGAAAGGAAAGTAACTACCTGTAGAATGCATAAATCTAATAGGAATTGATGATATATTGTAGTCAAAAAAAAGAAATAAAAAACCAATTTAACATAATTGTGATACCCATAAAAAGATAAGAAACACAATCTATGAAAAAACATATTTGGAAACAATAATTAAATGATTTTTAATCATTCAATCCTAATCAAGTATAGACAATATTAAGATGAACCAAAACACATTCGTGTGTGTGTATTTATTATATTCTATCATACACTACAATTTTTTTTTCTAAAAAACTTTGTAATATTTCATTTAACAAACTCACGAACCATTAGATTTTCCATCTAACTAAAAATTGAATTAACGATAGAAAAAAGGGAAAAAAAAGAAATTAAATTAAATGTATCAATCGAAAAAGAAATGGATTGTGTGACGATGAAGGTATTTTAATAGTAAAAGGGTGGTAGCTAGCTAGCTATAATAGATAAAAAGGGATAGAAAAAAGGGTAATAGTATGTAGGTGTGAGTGATAGTAGAGAAAGAAAAAGGAAGAAGATGAAGAAGAACAAGGGACGCTTGCGCCGCGGCGTTTAATCGACGTCATAGTAGTAGTGTAGTAGTAGTATTAGTATTAGTAGGTAGGTAGGTAGGTAGTATAAGGATGGTTTGCTGCGTTGGTCCGTTTGCGGCGCCAATGGAAGTCGACGGCAGTCGTCGGTATCGTTGGCATCCCGGCGCTTAGCGCAGTTTATCGTGCGCCGTCCACGCGCACGTTTTATTCGTGCGCGCGCGCGCGCGTTCACATATATATATATATATACATACATATACCTTTTATCCATACGGGTTCTTTTTAAATAATATTTTTTCGGGTTTGTCAACGCGTGTACGTGTCCTGCGTGTTGTTTGTTTGCTTGCTTGCTTGCTTGCTTACGTGCGTAAGTGTATGCGTGCGTGAGTAAGTGCATACGTGCGTGTTGAATGCACGTATGATCGAAAGGATCCCTTAAAGGACACTTTTCCTTTCCCCATTTTTCAAAATCATTCGTTTTGTTTCACGATTAATTATTATTGTTATTATTAATCAATTAGTTGTTTGTCTCGTTGAAATATATAATTATTATTAAATGTGTAATAGGAAAGTTGGATAGGTTTAAAAATTGAGAACTTTATTTTGATCGAGTTGCTGAATAAGTTCAGATTAAGGGATGAAACGTTTAATAAGATCGAAATGTAATGTTCTTAATTTTGAACCTGTCAAACTTACCTGTGTGACACATTTATTAATTGTTATTATTATTGTGGTTTCTTTTTTTTATCTATTCGGAAACGTGTGATCAACTATTTCTTTCTAGAAAGTTATTTTATTTTTTGTCGTTGATAAAATTTATTACAAAGAAAGATTTATATTGTATAGATCGATAATTGTTTCATTTCTTTTTCCTATCCTTTTTCTTTTCTTATTTTCTAACATTTTCTTTTTGTTGTTATTGTTATTGTTGTTTTGTTATCACGTATTTGGTTTTTGTTATAAAGTTAAAAAATTGGTTAAAAAGGATACGCGCGACACTTTCACGAGTCTCGCCTTCGGTAATTATAACTTTCCTAGGATATTCTTTTTAACAACGTTGCAGAGCAATGTAATGCTGTCGTAAATCACGATTCGAAAGTGTCGCCTTCCTTGAAAGAGGGTGGGAAAAGGGGGAACAGGAGCAGGAGTAAGAGGGGAATACAAAATCGCATAACTTTCTTACTCTCTTGTATATAGGGAACGTGTACTGTATATATATATATATATGTGTGTGTCTTTCTTTTTTCGATTACACGATTGGTTTTGGAATTTTACAATGAAATTGTTTTTTAAAATCGGTGATAATCGATGATTAAAAGTGATTTCAATTTTGTTAACTAATTATAATTTATTAGATTTATTGTATCGTATTGTACAGTGACATACCACGAATAGATCCCAAATAGATTGATTTTTCTTTTTACTATTATTATTATTATTATATTTACTCGAGATTAATACTATTTTTGTTCTTTTATTTCTAACCGATTACGAAATTAATACGACGACAGGTTTTTATCTTCTTATACAGTTTACCTAATAATTTAGCGATACCTTTTTTCACTTTGAACGTATACTTTTTCTATTACATTCTTTGAATAATTTTCAAATATTTTATTAGAAAACACTGTTTTCTTAAAGATCCTATGAGATCTATCGATATCGTATGGGATTCATTCCTCGATCGGTATTCAACTTCATTCATAATTCATAACGCATTGCGTTTAGTTGAATTTTATGTTTCGCTACACTTTCCTCTTATATTTTCCATTCTTTCTTTCTTTCTTATATTTTTTCTTTTTTTCTCGTTCAACAGAATAACTTCCTGTATAGATAACAGAAAGGTGTCACGCACGCGGAAATTCTTACGGTAATATTTCACATCGTTAAACATATTACAAACAATTCCCTTAGAAATTCATTTCGTTGCCCTTATTCTTTTTCTTGGTTTGACAAAGAGTTCAAAGGTGCGTCGATAAATACACGCGAGATTTTTTCACTTCCCCTCCAACTACTTTACCAACCCCATCCTCTTTTTCTACACCCTTAAATCTTTCTTTCCAAGTCAATATAGGACACGAACACACGACGTGACAACTATAGGACGAAGTATCTGTGTTAAAGTTTCCGAAGTGGCTCGTAAATCAGGATGAATAAGATCCGACCTCCTTCTTCTTATTTTTATTCTTATTATTATTATTCATCTTCTATCCTATATTCTTTATTTTATATAAATTTCAATTAGATTTAAAAAAGAAAAATCATTCAACATTTTTTTCCTTTAATTCATCTTCATCTTCATTTTTGATTCGCCAATAGGAGATCAAAACTTTCACTTTTATGCAACTATACGTTGAAATTAATTACTCGCAAGATCGATTCGATCAAGTCTAAGGGGGGGGGCGGTGGGAAGGGGTCGGTGGGGGAGGTGAAGGAAGTAAAGTAGGAAAAGAAGGAGGAGGAAGAAACACACGACGACGTTGTAGTAACAACGATGTAAAGAGTTACGACGTGCGGACATATATACACATACACAGTTTGTTAGCAATATCCAAGAAACGTTTCGTAACAATACTGAATTAGGATCGATAGATCGCAAATCGAACGTAAGTCGATCCTTAGAACAGATAGGTGGGGGGTGAGGATGAGGTGGGGGTGTTTGATACCCTTATTGTTCGAATCAAAGTTTAATTTTCAGTCTTTTAGTGTTGTAGTGTTCTTTCTTATTCGCGTGATATTATAAAAAGAAAATAGTATTATTTATTTAACGAATATTTAATCTTTTTTTTTTTAAAGAGATAATTTAATCTCTTTCTATCTGAGAGATCATTTCTTTTTCAAAACAAATGATCAAAATCAAACTTATGAATTATTATTCGTTATCCAATCTGTCGTTTTTAAAATCAAACACAAATTTGCCAAGTTAAAAATGTTCGATGAGTTTAGAAACGTTCCTTGAACGTTCTATTTAAAATAAACCAATAAGAATTTCTGAACTCGCTAATTTTACTTCGAGGAGAAGATTCCGTCCCACTTTGATACGATTACTACTAATACTATCTCAAATCCTGAACAGGGGAACCCACGAATGATTTGTATTTTCGCATTTTAATCAAACTTATATTACAATCCATTATTATTTATTTATTTATTTATTGTGAATTTTGGGAAAAATATAATAATTACAACGATGCGGTTTGTTTTTTTGAAATTTGATTGGAATTATATCATCTTCTATATAATTGGGGGAAATAACAATAATAATAAGAACAAATATTTTTTTAAATGATTTTATTCTTCCCAAGGGTTCTTCCTTTCCCCAGTTAACGTTTTCGAGATGTACAATACTCTCTCGAAGTATTACAAATCGCTCGTTAGGCCAACGTGATTATGGGGTTTTCCTTCGACACAATACAACAACTCGAAACCTAACGCGATAAATCTTTCTACGGTTCATCGTTTTAAGACCTTGAGGTGCTAATATAAAACGAACAATCCGAATCAAACCAGACTTCTCATTCTATCTTCGTTGTATTCAACTATACGAGTAGGAATCTCGACACTTGCGAAAATAACGAGAGAATGGGATGATCGAGACCGAGACCGTTGTTTTCTTCCTTCCCCCTTTCATTTTTTTTGTTTGCTTTGCTCCGTAGATCTTTACCGTGAAAATAAACGTCTATCTTTCAGTATTGCACTCGTACTTTAAAACATTTTTACTTTTATTATTCGATATGCCCGATCAGTTTGCATTAATTTATCACAACATCGAACACGATTTTATCGATCGATAAAGTATAATACTTTCTTTCCTGCCGGATTTTTTTTCTACTTTTTTATTTTTTTTTGTCCTTCACGCCCCCCCTTACTCATTCATTATACTTTTATTCTAGAAAAAGTTACAAACTGGTATCGTATTCGGATAAGTATCTGGATTCAACTAATTAGAAAATTATGATTGTATTTGTTAATTCGGATGAAAATAATTGAAATTTACGAATTTATTAAACCGAATTTAGGAAGTGCGCGCTATTCGTACCTGATATCCTAATTCTGACAAAGTACTCCCATTATTATTATTATTGTGAGTAAGACTGGATCTTGAATTTGTCTAAGAAATGTTCATCGTTTTATTCGAATGATAAAAATAAAGAATTTTACGAGGAGAGAGTTTAGACAAATCGATGAATTTTAAAAGGAGAGAGAAAGGATCATGAGGAGGATGAATGATCATCGAGGAACGAGTTTACGAGTTATTTATTCGTCTGAAATTCAAGCTTGTTACTTTATCGAACGAACGGATAAAGTGTTTAAGCAAATTGGAAGAGTGGTTAAGAAAATGGGAAAGAACAAAATTGTTAAATTCGTCATGTCCAGGAGAGATTTAATTTTATCGTGAATTAGTATTGTAATTGTTAATTTTTCGGAATAGTGTGTTATCAATGATCCTAATAATAAATATGAAAGTAGAAATTAATCGTGAAGAAAATTAAGTGATCCAATTGAAATCAAAAGTAAAAATGTCGACGGAAGAAAGTAGCGGGGGTACCCCCGCTAATACAACAGAAGAAACAGGAGTTCGTCATACAACTACTACAAGACGATTATCGAAGGAATATAAATTCTTTCGGAGTTTCAGTGCTAAGGTGGAAAATTGGCCGATGCGAAAGGCGGAAGCACTTTGGCGTCGAATGCGTGAACGAAAAATTGCAGGTACGTCGTGTGTGCATAATTCGCGTCCGAATAAAATTATATTAATATCGTTACAATTGTTTTTTCTCTTTGACTTTGTTTACTTGCATACACACACACACATACACACATAAATATATCTTTCTCGTAAGAGTACATAGAAGTTGACATATCATTTTTCTTTCCGCGTGTCGTCTAAATGCAACTTTGTAACACGTATGTCATAACTTTTCCTTATTCCGATTCTTTTCTACAACATGCATAAAATACTTTTGCACAAATTTCTTTCCCATTTCGACCGACATGTTCATATCGGGTACAATAATATTAAATTAAATTAACTGACCAACAAAATAAAAACAAAACTCTTTGATTAATCATAATTTTTAATTCTAAATAAGACACTTTTATTCGAGTGAAAATGATGATGAACAAATGCAAAGAAAATAATCATTGATTACATAAAATACTTTCGATAATTTTCATTTTCTCTCTTTACCTTTTTTTATTTCGTAGAAATGAAATACTACAGGTACACACTGATACCTGTAGCATTCTCGACCCAAACCGCGAAGCAAATCTCAACGTGGCAATAATCTACTGCATTGCTCGAATGCAAAAAATTACGATTCATCGTTGTGGTCTTCGATGTGGGAATGTGAGGGGGATTGGGGTGGGACGGTAGAGGATTGCACGTGTTATTTTTTGGGTCGAATTTTTGCAATTTCATTCGCAGCTCTCTCTCTCTTTCTTTATTTTTTATCTCGATGACCGCAAACAAGCGCGAGTTTAAAAGAAAATCAATCGAGGTGAGATTATTTTATGATTAACCTGTGTACGATCGATACACTTCTCAATTTTTTTTTATCATTTTTATGATAATGAGAGAAAAAAAATAGAAAGATAATCTAAATCATTATACACATATATTTTTTTAAACGATGAAAAAAGAAAAAGTATGCGTCATTTGAAATGGGTTAAAAGGAAGTGTCGATTGTACGGGAAACATAACGGGAACATCCTGTTGATTATAATCATATAACCTTGACACGATTTTCGGTTAAAGGAAGTCGGACCTGACTAATCGCTTCATCTTGACGAAATCATTTTTTTTTCTTCTTTTATTTCTCTATTTCTTTATTTTTTTGTTTGTTTGTTTGTCGTTGTTGTTGTATCCACAGGAAGTTATAAAGTATTCATAATTTCTTTTCTTTTTTTATGACGAAACTTATGTTTTTTTCTTTTTTTGTTTTGTACAGTTATTAACTTGACCTCGTTGATAAGTAAACGACACGAATTTTTATTCGTGATTCTTTTTTTTATTAATATAACACGTGACTCAATTCTATAGGAAAAAAAGGGAAAGAAAGTGAGATCGAGAAGTGAGAGTAATAATAATATAATAATAATATAACAAAAAAAAGAAAAGGATTTTTTATAATATTCCTATATAAAGATACAATTTAAACGCGAATGAATGTTTCTCCAAAGAAATCTTTTACAAGATTAAAAATAAAAAAGGGCAAATGAGAGTTGTTTAAAGGATCATGGTGAAATCCAAATAACAGAGAACCGAACGAAATGGTGCACTCAATCCATTATTTCATCAATCGTGCATCAAACAACGATACCTGTACTTTCGAAAAAGATTTTATAAACGATCAGAAACAATCGATTGTTGTCACGTAATAAAACTATCGTTTTTTTGTTTTTGTTTTGACATTTGTTTTCTCCTACCATCCTTTTTATGCACTAATATTAACACCCCCATCTAAATTGTGTGATCAAAAAAATTATCTGAACATTTAATTGTAAATTATTTTAATTGTCATGCAAAATTTCGCTTAACTCTCATTAAAACAATTTCAATTGTATATCTAGGTCAATTTAAATCTACGTTATACTAGTTTTATGTTTCTCACCTTACGCAACACCTCTCCCACACACACCCACGATTTAATTATTCTTTGACAATGTCCGGTCCGATGCTTCGCTGACTTTTCCAATGGCATTTCCGTCGAACCTTCGTCCAGTTAGTTTAATTGGAAAGTATCGAATGTTACTCGATTCTTTTTTTTTACGATTAATAACCACCTGTCTCTCTCTCTCTCTCTCTGTCTCTTTTTACCTATCTATCTATCTATCTATCTATCTCTCTTCTACTTACTTTTTCACTTTTTTTCTCTCACTTTCACGTTGAAAAACAGATAGAACGACAAACGCGTGTATACGATGCAAAATTTAATACTTTTTGTTTCTGTTTTTCTGTTTCTATTTAGAATATATATTACACTTGTTTCTATACATATGAGTGTACCAATTTTTTATTCATCATTCTGGATGCATCCTCACATCTTGTTGACAGTTGCTCTTTTCAAAACCCCTCAGTTTTATTGTTTTTGTTTTTAATTCAACACCTTCCCCTATCGTAACATGTCTTCTTTAATGTTAATGAACGAATTAAAAAGTAATCTCTATCTTTCTTTCTCTATCTATCTGCTAATTTATCTCTCTGAAAAGGAATATTTAATAGTAAAGAATAATGAATTAAGCATAAAAGAAAAAAATGATTTATTCGAACAGTTCATTCCGTCATTCCGTCATTCAATTTGACTGCGATCATTTTCGAATAATTTCTAATCGTCAATCATTTTTCACGTTCGATGGGGGTAAAATATTTTTGTTCAAAGCGAGATTAAAATGTATTCGTTGATTGGAAGAAAATATAAAAATTGAAATAAAAATTAAATAAAATCAAATAAAATAAAATGAAATATGATATAGCAAGATCGAACCTTGGTCCATTAAGGATTAAAAATGTAATCGGCACAAGGGCAATTGTCTCTTCGATGACGCACGTTTTTCGTCCCAACGGACGACAATTTATTATCATTACGTCAGCGAAATAATTTATAGATCCATCTTAGAGAAACAGAGACAGAATTAAAAAAGAGAAAGAGAGAGAGATAGTATCAACCGCGAAATCATATCTCCTTGATGATTTTGTTAACGCATAAAATGCACGAAGAAAGTCACGTTTGTTTTTTCTTAATCATTAAACAAATTTCGTATCGTACTACTCAGGGATTTTTATTAAATAAAAAATTTTATTCCATGGATCATTTCTCCTTATCTTCTCTCTTTTTCTCTTATTGAAAAAATAAAAAAAAATGTAAGTTAATTAATTGAAAAGAAAGATCTGATAAAAGGTTTGCCTTGTTTTATCTTTTTTGCTAAAAATTGTTAACATAATTTTATGAAGAAGAAGATAATTTTCTGAATCACGTAATTTAATTATTAATTGCATTTAAGTTTATTTATATATATATATATATTTTGAATGATTTAAATGTTACATTATATATTTTTATTTGTTCTTGTTTGAAATCTCTTTAGTAAAACCTTCTGCAATTTCACTTTCGTAATACAGGATCAAAGGGGATTATTATACCATGAAATTTCATACAAAGAAGACAGATAACGTGCAACACCCGATGTGTTTTCAACGTTTAAAGTGTTTCGAGCATGTCGTTTTAGTTTGTATGACTCTTCTCGTTATTCTTTCTCGGTCGTTTTCTCAACTTTCAACAAGTTGAGGGTTGGAACGTGCACACTAACTCGACGAAGAAAAATAATCTTTCCTTGCGGATGAAAAGAGATAGAAAGAAAAAGAAAAAGAAAAAGAAAAGATAAAGAGAGAGAGAGAAAGAGAGAGAAAATTCAAAGGGTATCTCTCAGTAATTTTTTTTGTTCTTTTCTTTTTTCTTTTTTGTCGACGGATATCGATCCCACTCCGACCATAAATCCGATCTTTTTATCACCTCGTCCCTAGCCTTTGTTGGCCCATAAACCTGTGAGAAATTTTTCTTTCTTTCGGTTATCTCGCGTGCTTAATTATTTTACGATCACGTCGAATAAATTGTTTTTTTTTTTTTTTTTTTTTTTTTTTTTCAAAACAAAAAAACATAGCCGAGAAAAGTGAAAATAAATTCATTCATTTTATATTTTTCTTTTTACATTTTATTTTGTTCTATAGAAAAACTTTCCAAAATAAAGTAAAACCAAACAATCAAACAGATTTTTTTTAAGACGGATACGAATCATGAAGAAATAAAAAAGAAAACACCATAAGATTCTTACATTCGCCTATACTTGAAAAGAGAGAGAGAGAGAGAGATACAAGTTTCCCATGTAATGGCATGTCTATGTGTGTCTATGGGATGGAGAGCAGGTAGTTTATGGGATATGTTTTACATTCCGATAGTCTGGCGCCGTACTTATATACATCTTCAAGATTTCCAGAATTAATAGGTTCGTAATATATCATGGCGGGGGATAACTTTATTGTGGATTAATGCACCATGCTCGAGGGTATTCGATTGGATGAAATCGTTTTACGGACACCAAGGTTGCACTTAATTTTCTTATGCACTCGGACACTATTATCGAATTATATTTCAAAATTCATACTGTTGTACAAACTGCTGGATAATAAGGGAATACTGAACAACAAAGATGGATAGATAGGGGTGAGGAAAAAAAAAGGGGGAGGGTAGGAGGGTGGGTTCATTTAATTTTTCGCATCTGCATTTATTTTCGAAATTATTTATATGCAATTAATGTTCTTTCTCTCTTTGACTATTTTGTTTTAAGAAGATACACATGTATACACACATACGTGCAATCGTTGTTCAACTCGTCACCCAACAAAATTCGACATTTACGTTAAATTTTTCTACTTTTTCTTTTGGTTTTTCCTTTTTTTTTTTGCCCTTCGTTTAAATGGTTAACATCTGTGTCCCATACTTTTGGGATTCCATTAAGCCACGTAATAGTTCGAAGTGTTCGTATATATATATATACAGGGTGTCCCACGTAACTCTAGTCATGATTTTTCAAGTACTTGCAATAACCTGACAAAAAAATATTGTTTCATGTGCATTCCTTTTACATTCGCCAAATATTAGCAACATATCAACCATTTTACTGTTAGTTATACATTTTCTACAAGTTAACATTAAATTTGAATAAATAATAAAACATTAAATTTTCTTGATTTTTGCATTAATTTAAAGGACACTCTATTTTCTACGCGTACAATACTTTATTGAGTATTAAATCGATCTGCAAAGATTTATAAAATATGTCAGAGAATGCAATGCTGTAAATTGTGCATCATTGCAAGATCTTTGAAAAAAATTCGGATAAATATTTTGTATACTTAAAACAAACGGATTGTAATAATTTTTTTTTTCTTTTCATAATACTCATATATAGAACAAAAATAAAAAATAAAAGAAAAGAATTATTTATCTAATTCATAAAAAACGATGATATAAAACATCAAATTGTATATATATATATATACGTATGACGATGACGAAAGATGCAGTCAATTATATTTGATTACGAGATGATCAGTAAGTAATCATTTCCTAAATCTCTGGAGAAAAACGATTATTCGCGTAATAGAACATATATTTGTTCGTGAATGCATGTATGGATAGTGATGATGATGGTGATAGTGATAGTGATGGTGGTGAATAAACGCGTGTGCCGGTAGACATACGGCGTACACTGAATTTATTTGTGGAAGCTCGTGGGTCTTATAATAGATCACAATATAAACCAGGCGAGAAACCATGATCGCGACGAGGATCGTGTCGAGGATACCGTAGACGAGAGTTTGCACGGCTGTGATGTAAATTACTTTGCTCGTTATTGTTTTCTACGATAGATTTTCCTTAAAAACAAGAAATGTGACTCAACTAACGACAGTAGTAATAGTAGTAGTCCTTTTCGAATTTAACTAACATAAGAAATCCGTACAACCGTCATCGTCATCATCATCGTCATCGTTTTCTTTTTTCATATTTTCTTCCTTTTCTTTATACTATTTTCGATCTTTGATAGTCTAATTCGACGATTTTATTTTCCGTCTTGACGTAAATGACGTACTTCGAATAACCACCCTAAGAACAACGTAAAACGCGTGAACACGTGTTTGCCATAAGCATTCTTCTAACGGTATGGGAAATTTCAACGAGACTTTTCTTTTTCTTTTTTATTTTTCCCCTCCCCGAATCGCGTTAAAGTTTTGAATTGCGTCAGGACTGTGTGACAGAATAAAAAAAATAAAAAACAATAAAAAGAGAGAGAGAGAGAGAGAGAAAGAATGAAAAAAAAAGTTGTTGACGCAACCCTATCGATGGACGAAGGTGTGCGTTTATACACCTGAGAATGTCTCGGCCTTCCAATAAAGGCCGAGACAATAGGAGAAACGGAATATTTCGAGTGCATTCGTGAGAATGCAGCTGCATCGTAATAATAAGTACACGTAGAATACTTATATACAAAAGACAGTTTTGCCTTTGCGTGAAACTTTTGTCATTCGTTGTTTCATATAAAGGCTAACGAATCTTCATCTCTTGTATTATCACTTTCTATTCATCTCTCTCTCTCTCTCTCTCTCTCTCTCTTTCTTTCTCATTTTCTCATTGGTGTTATCGTTATTTCTATTCAAATAGAAACACTTCAACTAGCATTGTATTTTTAACAAGAAAATTCTATATCGAGAATAACGAAGTATTCAATTATTACCAAAATATGGTACATCATTTTATAAATCAAACTAAAATATCTTTAATTTGTGATAGACTATAAATTATAATATATTTAACTATAATTATATATATATATGTATAAGTTTTCATTTAATCGATCGTACACGTCGAAGATTACATTGACGATTTTTAACGTCTTCATCAATCATATCAACGCCTATCAATTATTCTAGGTATACTTTGTATACCACAAGTAAGAAACTGTGTGGCGGGAGGGAAGCTCATATCTCGTCTATAAAAAGATATCCAAGATAAACTATGTTTTAAAAGGGGGACCAAAATAGAACAAGGGAAGGGAATGAGAGAGAAGAGGGTTGTGGTTGCTTGTGTGTGTGTGTGTGTGTGTTACGAACGATTCCAATGTTTCTTCTTCTTGCCCTATGATATTTTTCCATGGCACCCATCGTAATTCATATCCGATCTGCCGAGTAGAACGATTTATAATTCCTCTGAAAATCGTAACGCTCACTTTCTATACGCCAGGACAGGACGTTGTGTATTATATGCGAACTCTCTCTCTCTCTCTCTCTCTCTCTCTCTCATGCAAATTGTCGGATTTATTATGGTATGAGACGAGTATGCATATGAGGGCACGAGTTTCGCGAGAGTATACACCCCGTTGATTGCACTTCCATCTACAGGTTCCGATCATTCCTTTTTCTTTTTCTTTTCACCCTTACCTTCCATTCATTCTATACTCCACCAATACTTTCTTCTTCTTTTTTTTTAACCTTTAATACACTTTGACTTTTGAATTTTCACGCCATTGTTGCGTGAAAATATCTGTGATTTTAACACAAAAAAAGAAATCAATTTTGTTTCTGAACGAGAAAGTATTTGAAATATGTTACGAAATCTTGTTAATACAATAGTTATAATATCTATAAAATAGAAAATGATATTAATGAATGAGATTAGAAATGGTTTCTAATCCATGTTACGATTAGTTAATTGCTTAGTAGCTGATAAATACATCGTCTAGGTTAGAAATTGTCTAAGTCCTTGAATTGCTTTAACATCCGGCTTTTCTCAACTCTCTTATACCGACAAAAGAACTACTTTCAGATAGACAGATCCTATCGCAGGTAATAACTTATTTAACTGAGAAACAAGCTTGACTTACATCGAGAAAGTTAAGTGACTTTGTTGTTTTCCTTAGATAGTTACGATCTAACTGTCTCATTGTGTTTCTTATAACTTTTACCATAAATCATGAAAATCTTGGAAAAATATTTTAAGATATAACTCATAGTTAAATATATTGTCCATGTGTTCGAACAAAAAAAGTTATTAATTAACATTTATATTCATCCGAGTGTGTGATTAACATTTTAAACTAATTTTTAATAAGAGAAATTAGATTTTAGGAGAGTATGATTTTTCTTAACGCATTCTTTTATGTTTTTTGTTCCCTATAACAAAGTAGATGGTAAATTTTTCTTGTGAATTGTTTACAAGAATTATATGCAATGTATACAATATAGGTAGTTAACATTTTTAATTAAAAGTATACTTAATTATCTTTAGTTTGAGCATAAACAAGATTTTAGAAAGCGTGTTAAAAATGAATCTTTTATAAATCTTTTTAAAAATTGTTTTTGTTTTTGAGGGATTTGAGAAAACAAAAGGTAAAGTGTGTAGAGTTAACTTTCTTTTGCCCCTGGAAAGATGCAACATGTGAAACAGGAAAGTATTCGGTGTAAGCAGTATCTCAAGTGCAGTTTTATATGCATACGGTAATAGTGCATCAACAGTTGCAATACTATAATAGAATGAACTAGAAGGAAATCTTATAATAAAAGGAAAAACAAAAATGATATATTTGTATTTTTAGAAAATGCATTAATAAATTGTTCACTGTATACAATATGATAAAAATTAATTAATAATATATATAAAATTAATCACAGTAAAAGAATTTAAAGTATGTATTCGAGATTAATTATTTGTAAAAATATTTTTTTACAAAATATTTATTTATATATCAATCAATCCCTTTTCTATTTCTCTTACTATTCTTTTATTTTATTTGTAACTACACTTAGTTCGTGACTTTTTTTTTTAAATTCTTTACAAATATACTCGTCGTACTCGCGAGAAAATCATTTCGTCGATTACACCTGCAACAAAAAAGAAAACACACATGGTCGTCGATCTAACGATGATGCAACTTAAAGAAAACTTTTACCCTTTCCTTTTTTTTCTATTTTTCAAAAAAAGATGAGACACCACCGACGAATAAAAACTTTGACAAATAATATCAATTATATTTTTCGCGAATCATTCAACAGATGATGAAAGTTCCAATCTTGTAACTCCGTAAAATTGTTTTCTTCTTCACGCTTTCGCCTTTTAAAAATAAACAAAAAAAATAAAATAAGAATACCAGTCTTTCTATTATGTTTGTACGAAGGATAAAGAGAGTACTTAACGCTTACCACGTTCTTTTATGTTCCAGGTAAGCACCGAACGATTACGAACGAATGTTCCAGTATAGTAGTCACGAGTGAAACACTAAATCCGTTGGTAAGTATGTTCTACGTTTTAAGGCTCATCCAATCACCATAAAATAGTGTCCAAGGGCGCGTCGTTAAGGACAAGGTGAGAGGAACATGAGGTAGAAAAGGAAAGAAGAAAGTAGTAGAAGAGTTGGGAAGGGGGAGGTGGGGACAGAGGAGAGAGAGAGGGTGGTTGTTAGGTAGAAGAGGGTTGAGGAGGGTGAACGATTTACATTTTCATAGGGAGTAACCTACGGTTTATGTCGCTTCAAGGTGGACCGCATTTCGAACTCGTCTCGAACCGATGAAGATCGCGAAAAATTACGAGCGCAGGTGCGTTTTCTCTTTACCTTCACTTTCGTTACCATGCGTGATACTTAAATACATATACGCGAAGTATCGTCGTAAAGGAAAGATCATATCTCGTATCGATAATGAATTGTAGTAGTAGTGGTAGTAGTAATAGTAATTGAAAAGGCAGTACTTTGAAAAAGGGGAATGAAAATGAAAATTCGATGGAATTGAGAAGAGTGGAATAGAATGAAATATATATAAGATTAAATTAACGTAACTTTTTCTCGATTGGCATTAAATAATTGAAAATATTTAATAGATAAATTGGTGTCGTGGAAGATTGATAAAAAATAAAATCATTTATTTCGAATAAAATGATCATACTAAGCTTGTATTTGAATCTTTTATATCCTGTTTCTTCGTGATTCATTTTATACAAATATATTTATAACGATTAATAAAGTATAATATTAATAAGTAATATATATAAGTAAAATCGTGTGGTGTTAGTTGTTTTTTTTATTCACGATGGGTATGAATAAAAAGGAAAGAATAATCTAACTCAATCAAGGTTCGATTAATCGACGCCTCTAGAAACAGGATTATTCTTCCTTCGTCTAATCTCGTTCTAGCGTTCCTTTCAAAGTGTTTTTGCGCGAATCATAGGTTCTATAAATAAAATACGATCCCTTCGTAGATCATTACACGAGAATAACCATGAAAAACGATCGTAAAATCTTCCTTCATCGAGGACGTACGAATTCACGTTAAACTTCTTCTAACTTCTTCTTAGTCTTATTCTTTATACCTTTTATTTCCTTTTTTATTTATTTATTTTTTAATACCATAGAAGTATAGTTGTATACACATATATCAATGCAAACGAACAATCGAGATGCTCGTTACGTTAGTTTTCGTTTAATCAAACCAGAAATCGTAGTATGACGTTGAAGGGGAGTTTAAAAAGGGAGGGGTAGAGAACCCACGTTCCAGATTCAACGTCAAACCATAAGAGTTTGCAATAAAATCCCTTTGTACATTCCCTTCGAGTTTATTCTTTTCAAATACATACACACAACCACTTGAAATCATAAATAAAAGAAATAATAGGAGAGTATATTTGAAATTTTTTAAAATAAAAAATCATGGAGTTTAAATATTATCCAATGTGAAAACACCTGTAGAATAAGTGAACGTACTTACACGTACGTAATAGTTGACTGTTAGTGTGTGAGTTTGTTCACTCTGATCTACGTTTCTTCTTCCTTTAGATTACAAAACAAGTAGTAGTAGTAGAAAAGGGTTGGACCGTGGTGATAGGGAAGTATCTATTCAGCTACTACCGGTGTGGTTATCCAAAGAGATATCTTTATCCGTAATAACGAACACGTCTGTACAATTATTCATCTCTCGAATCCCGCCGGCGATGTTTTATCCTTTTCTTCTTTTAATCCTTTCTCTCTTTCTATCTGTTTCTTCCGTTATCCTGAATCCCTCCCATCCCACCCCCCGCCCTCTTCATCCGTATTTCTCGTCTTTCCCTTTCCTTTTCTTCCCTTCGTTACAACTATCTTTCTTTCTTTCTCTCTTTTCGATAAACTAAATTCTTCTTCTTTCAATTAAATAAAAACAACAAAAATTCAAGAAGGATGGGTAATCTCTATCTTGTGGATTATTTATTCTAATTAGTATGATTAATATATTATAATAAAATTAATAAATGAAAATTATTATTTTCCCGTAATATTTGTTATTTCTTCTATGAAGAAAATAATTTCTAATCTAACAGTGTAATCGATATTATTCAACAATACGTAAAATGCAAACGTAATCAAATAATTCTTTATGTTCTAAGGGAAAACGTGGAATCTTAAAGGGAATGGTATGGGGTGTAAGGATAGGATAACGAAAGTACAATGAGATGATAGGCAAAACAAAATAATTTACAGTAATAGATTGTTCTTCTTCTTGTTTCCTAAAACCGCGTAACGTAATCAATGAGATTACTTGAGTATGCACTTCCCATGCTGCTATATATATATATATATATATATGTATACTGCTAAACAGTGTACCGCTTTTACGCGAACATGTGCGTGCGTGTTACAGTGGAACAGCTCCATAAACCCCATAGACAGGCACTAATGGCGCAATAACCCGACCGAGGATGGGTGATCGCGCGTGCGACCCTTCTCCCCCATGTCCCCCCATTACATCCACATTTTCATCCTTATCCGTATCTTCATCCGCATCTTCATTCTCATCCTACTCGTTCTTATCCCCTTATTCTATTCTTTATTTCTTTTTTTTTTTTTTATTTGTTTTTGTTCTGATGCACTTTTATTTTTCTCACGCTTATATAAATATATTAATGTACATATAAGTAATTATTTAATTAATACATATATTATAATGAAATATTTAATTTAATTTATATATTAAATATATATTATTAATATTATATCAGAAAAAAATTGAAATTAGAAGTGCAATTAATTATTAAAATATTAAATTGACATTGATAGGCAAAATGAAAGCCCTTTCCCTTCTCACCCTTCTCCCCATCTCCCCATTACATCCTATTCGTTCTTATCCCCTTATTCTATTCTATTCTTTATTTGTTTTTGTCTTGATGCACTTTATTTTTCTCACGCTTATATAAATATATTAATGTACATATGAGTAATTATTTAATTAATACATATATTATAATAAAATAATWGATTTATATAATTTGAAATATTTAATTTAATTTATATATTAAATACATTATTAATATTATAATCAGAGAAAAAAAAGAAATTGAAATTAGAAGTGAAATTAATCGTTGAAACATTAAATCGACATCGATAGTTAGTTGAATACCGCACTGTGTCCTCCCTACCCCCCTCACTTTATAGAAAAAGAACGAACGGGGCAAAACTCATGGTGGTGTAGTAACTTTTACGACAAAGTATTTCGTTCTTCTTTCTTCATATACACATAAAGCGACAAGCGCGAATGGTTACACGAATAACTCGACGGTTATATACCGTTCGAACAACGAACCTCATTGTACCCATGCTCGGGAAGTTATGGGAAGAGATATCTTTTGCTACTCTCTACGAGATGAAAGGAGACAGAGAAAACTGTGAGAAACGTCATTACGTGGGAATGTGTTACCATACTTATACACTCGATACACGCGACAAACATTTAGTATGTCGATTTTTACAATCGTTTCATCCAATCTTCCAATTTTTCTAAACAATCTCTCAATTTTTATATCATTTTTTCTTTTTTTTTTTTTTATAATACGAAAAGTTTATCTTATGAAATAATAAGAAAATATTTGAATTTCGAATTAAAATAATAATAATATACATGAGAGTATATATATATATATATAGGTATTATATAAATAAAAAATGATTATAAAAACAAAAGAGATGGAGGAAAATATTCTAACACGTATATTGGATCGGGATGGGGAAAAAAGAAAAATAGTAAAAGCCTGTTTCGTTTATATCGGACGTTTTTATTATTAGTTTCTGTTAGAAAAAACATTGAAGAAGTAAATGAGGACAAAACGTATTGGCGATCGGAGTTTAATTAAAAATCCCGAAGGATCGATACACGAGAAAATGAAAAATATAATATATCGTGTAGAATAATACTGGCTTTATTATTGATTATGTATATAGATTTAATATATGACTCGTTTTACTCGTTGATAATTACTTTTCATGTTCTCAGTCTCGTTCGAATATAATCGAATTGTTTGTTATTCAGTGGTATCGTTGACGTTGTTTAACGATTGGAAAACAAAGATATTATAATGCGTTCGATTTAATCGATAATTCAGAAAATTTACCCTTACTCAATCGTATTATATTATTTTTCTTTTTTTAAACGATAATAAATGGTGGAAATTATTTCGAACGTGGTGTAGGTGGAAGAAATAGAAAAATAAAAGATTAATTTTGTGAATAATTTTGCGTGAACGTGTTCCGTGAAGTAAAATTGATCTATATTAAATTTAGAAAAGAAACAACAATAAAATAAAATATTTAAAAAAGAATAAATATATAAGTATCCTTTTCTCTATACGATTTAAGTACATATGTATATCTATATACGTTTTGTCACAACGGATGCTCGAGTTATCTCAACGTTCTGCTCTGAATATTTTCGACCTTCTCTGCACGAAGAATTTCATCCAGTGAAAGCCACTCATCTCGAGTTACGGATTTACGAATCCATCGACGTGGAATACTCGAAACACACGATTCAGGATATTATATTATCGAGTGGATATTTATTCGACAAAAAAAAAACAAAAAGAACAAGAAAAAAAAAAAACATTTCAAATAATAATAATAATCATCATCATCACACTAAATGTAGATACAATTGGAATGCAATTTTTATGCCGATAACTTAAAAACAAGAATATAATAATATATTTCCAATCGTTATTTTGAACATTTACGTTGTTTACGCGTATAAAACCCCCCTAGTATTATAATTATTATTATTATTATTATTCTGTAACTTTCGTTTTATCTATATTATTATTAGTCTTGATACGTCAGTCATCCAACATTGTATAATACGTTCATCGTTTCAGTTATATTATGCAAACGTTTCCTCGTAATGAATCTCGCATAACTTACACTCGTGTTAAACTTTTATTACAGATATTCCTTTCCTCGTAGTAAATCGATCGAGAGACAACAAGACTACTCTTAACTCGAATTTTCTCTAAACGATGTATACGACATAGATTATGTTTCTACCAATTGAAAGAGAGAGAGAGAGAAAGAAAAAGAAAAAGAGGCCAGTTGATTTCGTGCAATGCTATTACTAAACAGTTGTTGCATTGGATGTATGATGCTGTAACACAACAGTGAACAGATGTCTCGAGTGAAAATGTAATAAAGAAAGAAATAAAGTGAGATAGAGAATAAGAATGATTGTTATTCGTTATGAATTACATTCATTTATTTATATCAGGGCAAAATAAATGAGAAGACAACAAAATTCTAATGTAACAAATAATTTTCAAATGATAGATTATTCTTACAAGACATTTATTTTTCTGTGTCAAGATTTTTGTATTAAACAGCAAAAGTTTTCTTATATTTATTTATTTTTTATTGTATTTTTCTGCACATACATTTCTAATGAAAAATATATTATTCGATGGAATGAGGAGAAAAATATATAAAGTTTTTATTATAAAATCAGTTTCGTTTACGAATAACTTCGTTATACAAAATAAGTAAGCAACTAGTTACCCTTCTCAATTCTACTTTCGACGTTAACCAAACTTAATTTACTTTTTAATTACTTCTCCTGGTGGATTACCAGGTAGCATATTTTCTTTTTCTTTTTTATTTTACTTAAGCAACGACCTGTTTTTTTCTTTTTCTTTATTCTAATCGAAAAAGATATCCCTTATATGAAAGACAGTTGTCACGAAAAGGGAATTTATTTTTCCTTTATAACGACAACATTATGCAACAAGTAAAATTCATTTTCTTGAAGTTAGATGAAACGTTATCTATTGAAATAAAATATATCTGCTTACAATAGAAAAATAAAAAATCTATTAGATGTCAAGGTGTTACCGTTATAGTGTGAAAACTGTTATTTTATATAATAACTATGTATTAACATAGATTAACCGTTACTCTTAACTTAAGCATATATATATTATAATTGATTAGAGGTATTGGATATATAGCTACTTGTATATCCTGTCGTATAACAGGATTGTCATTCTATCTAATACAGCTAGTTATTTCTGTATCATCTGTTTTATAAATAAGTACAAACATATTTTTCTTTTATTATAATTATTTTCTTTCAACATCATCATTATCATTATCATCATCATCATCATCTTATCATTTACAATATTATTTAATTAAAACGATAAATTATTATTCTATACAAAAGAAACAAAAATAAAATCCAACATTTAATAATACACAGTTATATCTTTTACTAGAATACACAATGGCATAACGGTAAGATAAGGGGATCTAATTTATAGATAAGTAATACTTCATTCCAATCGTAAGAGGATGATTTATGAGCTGTGTATTTTCATTCAACATTATCCGAAGTTTCGCCATGGCAATTACGTAATCGCGTAATTGCTGGTGGATTGATGCATCGTCCGTCATCAACCGCATCGTTAGCCGTCATATTCAATTGACTTCGTCATAGTCATCGTCATAGTCATAGTCATAGTCGTTCTTAGTCAAACAAGTTACTTGAAATTCTTCCTTTCAACAACACACGCATCCAAAAAAATGCAACTAAATATCAGAGAAATTTCTCTCACTTGCTCATTCATTTTCCCAATCCAATAATTACCATAATTACTTGGATTATGTGTATGTTTAAGCTAATTGTACGTTTATATTATCGTATACATATATATGCTGAAATTTACTCGGCAAAGTATTTCTAAATGCAAGTTAATAGTTTATTATTAATATACGCGTCGATTTCAATTTCACGGTTAGAAGATACCCGGATTTGTAGGACATCGAAATTAACCATGAACTTCCTTTAAATATATATTTCTGCAATCAAAATAAAACCACAAACACAAGAAAAAAAACAACCATATAAATTACATACATTTATCGTGACAAAAATAAAAAATATATATATATATATATAACACCATATAAAAACGATCCAATATCGTATGCAATATAGTATTACTTTCTTGTTAAATGTGTTTACATAAATAATAATTAACATATAGATATAAAGAAATGAATTCAATTTAATGAAATTTTAATAGAAAGATAAGATAATTCTTATTTAAAAGGAGGAGGAAATAAAATAACAAAAATCTATAATAATATTCTATTATTTTTTATTTAAAACTGATAAGGGGGGGTGGAAAAATTTCTCTTTTAGTTTTCTCGATATATCATCGAACATTTTCATTCGGTTAACATCAATTCTTACACTCCTAAGTCTTCACTGACTATACAAATAACGGTGCTAGGCAGAATACTCGTTGCTGCTGCTGCTGATGTTGTTGCTGCAGCAACAGCAGCAGCAGCAGCAGCAGTGCACCATTAACTCTTCTAAATCACGTTCTGTCAACAAGCTCGAACGCGATGAAGAAACGATGTAAGTGTGCACTCCTAACTCGTTGTAAGGGAACTCGTGCGATCGTAGAATGAATGAGAGAGAGAGAGAAAAAGAGAGAGAGAGAGAGAGAGATAAAAGAAGAAGAAAAAAAAAAGCTTTGCGTGCTTGCAATGCACAGACGTGTCTTTGATACGTAGACGGATAGAAGGAAGGAAGAAGGAAGGCAAGCTCACGGTGTAACATCTCGTTCGATTCAACTACCACCATCACCAACACCATTGCATTCCAACTGCATCCAAAGGATGCACCGAACTCTCAGCATTAACTCCTACTCCTCCACGTTGTCGTCTTCGTAATACAAATTATTCAAATAAAATCGTGCAATTTCGCGAAGTATCTTATTTCATTCGAAACACCATAATCCAATATTAAAAATAGTAATTGACGATTCGACATAAATTATTTCGCGAATATTCTCGTTTTTATTATCTCTTTTTTTATTTCTTTTTTTCTATTTTCTTTTTCTTCTTCTTTTTCTTGTTTTCGAATCGAGATCATACCATAAGAGAAATCGAGATGATTACCGGATACGATGTTAGACGATACTCAATCGTTATTTTGTACTTTTTGCATTTCTTCTTCTCGTTATTATGAGAATCTATGGAATGGTTGTTTATAACTAGAGATGCATAACTCCATTTCGGATGTAAGATACTTATTCTTTCTTCTTTTTTAGTGTAAACTCGATTTAAAATCATTTCCTTTTCGTTATGATATTTAAAAAAAAGGAAACTAGAGATTTATTATTTGTAATTTGTATTTCATTAAGAATATAAATGAGAAAAATATCCTTTACAGTCGGGAAGAGATATAAAAGTAATATGTACTTGTGGAATTGCATTTGAAACAAGATATATTAAGACAAAATTTATTGAGAATGAAAGAGAGAGAGAGAGAGAGAGAAGAAAATTAATCAAGAAAATTTAAACAGATTGTATTTAGTGTATAAATTAATATTTACAAAATTTATTATAATAATCTATAACACACACAATATTAATTGGTCAAAATTATTGTGAGAAATGAAGGAAAATGATTCTGATAAAAGATCTTATAATAATAATAATAATAATAATAATAATATTTCAAATATAAAATTGATCGCGTAAGATCAACGATCCAGGATTTTTTCTTCTATCTTTTTGTTTTTGTTTTAAAATAAACGTATCAGCTCTTCTTCTTCCGCGTGGAAGTACCTCTGATCTTCGAAGATAAAACAACAACAACAACAAGAAAAATGCATCCGATCGAGTGCATTATAATTAGATCCTCCTCTTCGATGTAACGAGGTTCGTGTCTTCTCCGAATAAGGCTTTTACATAAGAGATTCATGGTGTGTATCATAGAATGATATTATTAAAAGTAACTCCTATAACTTATTTCGATTAATCGTCATTTTCTTCTTTTATTATTATCACTATTATTATTATTATTAATTCGAGTAATCAAATTTGAGTAAAATTATTCTTAAATCATTCGTCTTACTTTCGTACACAATCTTATCTATTCTTTTTTTTACTTACTTTCTTTTATCTTTTTTTTCATTTTTATTCTGTTCAAAAAATTATTCGAATAAATGTTCATAAGAGAGAAAAAATCAAACTATCAATTTTTTCTCATTCATTATATTTCTTTTTCATAAATAACCACATTTTCATCTTTAAAATACATTATTAACTATACGTAAGGACTCTCACATGTTCGGTTATTTTAGATAATATTATCGCGGTTCAGCGAACCGTGCGAAACAGTTACACACTATACGACCACGTACATACATACGTATGTTCATTCGTTCATTCGTTCATTCGTGATTACATAACGAGATTTGCCATGTTACGTTGGAACTCGGGCGATAATGTTGGAATATTTTATGCACACGTATGCAGACCGTTATGTCGTCGTTCTAAGGTATCTTACTACCTCGTGAAAATCATGTGCTTTATTTTTCCTTATTCTTCTTCTTATTCTAACTATAAAACTATCCCGAACTGACAGTTTTAAAAAGAACAAGAAAAAGTTATGACTTTTAGGAACATAAAGTTAAACCGAATGAGAATGATCATTTAAAAAATGAGATCATTGTGACACTCTCTCAAAAGATTCCTAAAAGAAACAATAGGATGTTTTCTTTGATAATGGAAGTAGTTGAATGTGAAAAGAAAAAAAGAGAAAAACAAATTTACAGGGGTTGGTACTGTGGGGGTAGGGTGGTGTTTGTAGACTTGATAATAGAACACCCACGTTATTATAACGGATATAAATTCGAACTAAAGACAAATCGTGTTTCACGCGAGTACGAATGAACGTACGAACGAACGTACGAACGAATGAACCAGTTCGAAAGTTGGTTTGCGATATGCAACATGGCAAGAACAACAAAGACAACAACAAGGAGGAGCATAGGACTAAGAAAATGTGTGTCACTGGTGTCTATGTCACCTAACGGCATCTCGTCCTCTTAGGTGATGCTGGACCCCACTGTAATAAATAATAATAATATTCTATATGCATCTCTGCGAGATGTGCACACATTGTACCCCCCCCCCCTCCCCCATAGTGTATAAATATTACTTGGTAGATACACCTACGTTCGTTCATCTTCGTTTCTTCCTTTTCCTTTTTCTTTTTGGTTCAGAGTATTGGATGTAATCAGCATTGAAAAGGATCATGATTTTCATTGGTTGCTGTGTCGTGAGGATTACGCGTCCTGTTTTTACTTACTCACCGTGTATAAATTATTAGTTCGAATTGAAACATTGTAATTGTACCTTTCCTTCCTCTTTAACTCGATTGATTTTGGTCACTTTTTTAATCTGTTATTATTTTATATATTCCTCGTG